GATGACCTTTATTTAGATGTGATAATATTTTAAATTAAATTGGCAAAATGTATTTGTTATAAATACTCTTTTTTTGTTAAAATCATTTGTGAATGGAATGACCTCCCTGCCAATGTCGTTGAGATAGGTAACTCAACACATTTCAAAATAGCTCTTACATTATACATGCGTATTTCTTAGGTTTTTACCCATCTTAGATTTTATTATAAGCATACATTTTTAAATTTTATTTCTTTGGAAGTTTATTTACATAGGGTTAACCTCTTAAACTTCCTTTTTAGGGTATCATTTGTGTTTTTTATTCTTTGATACCTTAAATAAAGTATGTATGTATGTATGTATGTATGTATGTATGTATGTATGTATGTACACTACAAGCTTGTGGGGTTGTGTGAATAAAAAGGAAAGTTACATGTTATGTAAACATAACTTAAATTTGAAAATAGAGAATGGTATATATATTATAACAATTAGAGGCCATTTAGTTCTTGTTCCTTTTATTAGGACTTATTAAAAACAAGAATCAGTAAACTAAGTGAACAAGCTAATCAAGTCAACTGTAAGCATTCTTAAAACAATAAAACTCACCCTATGTCTGCCTGAATAAATATGGCAGGATTAGCAGAATTAAATGAACTTCCTACACAACAGACTACTTCTCCAAAATCTTGCATTATAGCAATCATCTCCTGAACAGCTGTCAAGAAGTGGAAACATCAAATTTCAATTAACGCTGAAACACAGCTGAAAACTGACAAACAACAAAACAACCACACCAACCATAAAAACAACATTTGGTCCATGATTTAACCCTTTAACTTCTAAAAATGACTGACATCTAATTTCTCCTTACAATATCATCGCTGAAACACATACAATGGTCATGAGAAGAAAGGGAATTATCACCAATTTAAAATGCTCCTGATTGTCAAACAAATTCTCCTTGTAAGCACTGTAGGTAATGCAAAGAGAACAGTATGGAGAATATGCATAATAATGCTGAGGTGTGTAAAGGGTTAAGGGTGGCTTTATCTCATGGCAAGCCAGAAAAGAAGCTCTTTCACAACTGTGAAAAAGTCCCTGCCTTCACCTGATGGAGTACAATCAGTGAAGAGGGGAACAAGAAGAGGAACGTTATCAACACTCTCCAGATGAGGCCTGATGTTTTGGATCCCTCTGGGAAGTTTAGCCTGATAATGAGATGAAAACAATAATTGAAATCAAATGTTACAAAAGGTGCAAGAGAAACATCCTACTTGATTAAAAAGAAACAATGAGTTGATATGGTTAGCTTTATGTTCAAAACTGTTTGTTTATAATCTGTGAAGGGACAGTTGAAGATTTATTCAGTAGGGAGGGGTCAGAGTCAGAGTCAGAGAGAGGGTCAAATTTAAATGTTTGATCTTTCCTAGGTGAAATGTTAAAGACAAAAATTCATGACTGTTTTTGAACAGCCAGAAACAAAAACAAAATGGATAACTTCCAAGTAGTAATTAAGTAGTTCTGCAGTGCAATTACATGGCTGCACAACATAAATGTGATCTTTAGTTTTCCAATAATTCTGTAATCATTCCTGCTCAAAACTTCAAGAAATTTAGGTCTTGACTCTCTTTACTCTTACAAAAAAAATTAAACAAACAAACAAAAAATGAAATTAGCCATCTTAAATAAAAGTCTACACTGTTTGAAGTGTTACCCTGTTAGCAAAGAACCAATAATCCTCAGGTGCTGATATCTGACTACTGCCCAGTAGAGTACCACCATCACTTTGACTTTCTAATAGGGGATCCATTTCAACTGCTTCAGCTTTATGTGAGACTATAAGAAAAAGCAAGAACATAAAATCAACTCTGATTAAATCATATTCAACCCAGCAAAAGGGTCTCTTCAGGTTCCACTTCAGCTGGCCTAGAAAAAAAGTTATACAAAGCAGGAAGGCAGAGGGGGAGAGAGAGGTAGATGGATAACATCTAGTAATGAACAGTATGACCCTGACCACATAAGGAGAGTGGCATAAGATTGCAATGGATGGTGGAAGAAAGTTGCCCCTTGAATTGTTAACTTAACTTACTAATTTTTAAAGTGATTGATAAAAGACCACCTCCCATTAAAAAAAAAAAAAAAAATTGGCCCATTACTTTTTTCAGTAGATTCAGTGTGGGTCACTCTCCAGCTAACATGTTTCTCATCACCATCCTGCCCAGAAACATTTGCATCATCCTGGATGTCATAAAGACTCTCAGTATTCCTGTCCGACACTGTTGCACTGCTTCCACGGTCTTCCAAGAGATGGCCACCCTCTCTGAGAGAGATGTGACAGTTCCATCCAGTTTCTAGGCCCATCCTCTCTGCAAATACCTGAAAGAGATCATGCACTCAGATTTTAAGAAACTTGCCCATGAGTAGATGAAAAATATACTTCAACTCAAATTCTTTAGATTCAGCACTTGCACATTATTTATGTATTAAGTGGTTCTTTGTGTAACATATCAAGTTTGAGCAAAACTTTATGGCAATAAAAAACATGGAGAACAACCTTTGGAGATGAAAAAAAAAAAAAAAAAGAAAAAAAGAAAAAAAACCCAACAACAAATTTATCCCAGCTGTCAAGTTTGGGTATCAAACCCAGGGCACAATAAGATGCAAGTGCTCTTGGCACTTTGCCATTCTTGATCACTGTTTCAATCCACCTGTTTTGCTGGTAAATTCATGTAAAATTAAATGTTTCACTGCAACTTATAGTTAAGTAAAAGACTGAAGCAAAATTCCATACCCTGCTTCTTAATTCATTTTCAGCTGAAAAATAAACAAATCGGATTCCAGCATTGTTCAGGTCTTCAATGAGAGGAAGAATATCCTTTAACAAAAGAATAAAATATTGAAATTAAGGAAATGCAAGGGAAGTGATATACCAGTATGCACCATGCATCCACAGACCTTGAATTGTTTAAAACAATTTCATTCAGTCTGTAGCCTTTTAAGTAAAAATGACAATGTCATTGCAAACCTTCTTGGCTTGAAACTGTAACGTCACCACTCCAATGAAAATCTGTCCTCCAAGTATTCTGTTTATAAATAAAGTCATAGTAAGTTAATGTGATAACTTGCTGGCCTGACAAAAGTGAAGATTTAGTCAAAATTACCTTTGATAGCTCTCCACATTTTCAGCAATGTTCACTCTTTCTAACAAAGATGCTGCTTCCATATCAGCTTCAAGAAGCTCAAAGCAGTTCTAAGGTTTATAAACAGAAATAGAGGTATTTTTCAGAGATCTTCAAATTTTTTCTCATTGACAACCCTTCATTTGTGCAATTCTGTTGTTCAATGTAACTCTTGGTGACAGAGCCCTTTGGAAACTAATTTAAGTGTCCTGCCTAATATCTACAAAACAGAGAACTCCACCTTGAACATAAAATTAATAACAGAATCACTGAATAATGGATAGTAGACTTTTAAAATTGTACAATAGGTACCTCCAGCATATTTGGTTGGAGAGAAATGTCAATATTGTTTTATATTTGGTATCTATTTATTTTTAATACAAGATAACAAGGGAGACTGGATAACCGTGCAAGTGGTGTACACATGAAATTGAGAAATAATATCATATGCATTTTGTCAAAATTTTATTCATCTCCCTCGCCTAAGGGCTTGCTAAATTTAAAATGAGCCCCTAACCTTCCATGAGAAGCAATTCTGGTAAAGGTATAGTAAAAAAGGTTCAGACTGTGATAGCCTTTGCCATCTTTAGCCATTAAACAAGTAAGAGATACATATAATAAAGTCAAGGCCACTTACAAAAGCACTATCCTTGTCTGAGTTTTCAGATTCTGCCTCTGAAATTTCAGAGGCACTGAAAAGAAATCATAGTAAGTTATAGTATATTGTACACTAAAAAAACCCCTGTTGATGAAGTTAAAGAACCTGATCCCACCAATGCATCAGTTAACACACTACTGATACACCACCAACATGCCGGCTGACACACTACTAACAAAGTAGTTCATGGATTGATGGGATGGGATTCTTTACCATTATCACACTGTTGTTACTTCTTGACATGGTTGATGTACTTCAACTAACTGTCTTACCTTGGTTTTAGTTGTAATACAAAACAGCCAAAACAGGGCAAATAAACTAACCTTTCCATTTCATCGCTTTCACTACAAATCCACTGAGCAGTAGAGGGTAGCTCTAAATATACATCTTCACTCTTTTCATCTGGTATTTGCTGAAATAAGTTAGGAAAATTTGATGAGTAAAACTTTCAAGGAACAACTGTGTAATGCTCAAATTGATTATGGAAAGCAGTGCATCCTTTTTAAGAATGATAGCAACATTTGATCATAATCTGCACTCACAATCAACAATCATCTACAAAATTAACATTTAAACACATTTTATGGAGCTAATTTAAAGACTGTTATAAACACAAATAAATTGGGAAAGATGTCCAGGCAAACTGTTTTCCAGTAATGAAATTTATGATCAAGATGTTTTCCATTAAAAACTTCTCATTCAATTTGAACTATAACTTTTAACAATTCTACAAAACTGAACTTCACTGTTTAAATCATCATAAAATATGAGTCATCAGCTGAAATTTAACACCACTCCCTACCTCGGTCACAGGACGATAAGAAAATGCGACACAATATGCTGACATGCTGTTCCTCTGATAAAAGTCAAGTACTTTCTTTCTGAGGTCAAGAAATAAACACATCTGTAATATCATAATCTTACACCTATCCAGTAATTATGACTAATTGATTTGAGGAAAACAATTACTTCATCCCTATAATCATAATTTTATCTTAAATGTACCTCTCAAATGCTGTGACAGGACAAAGACTTGATCCATCCCAGTAATCAGTGCAAGCATCTAGAACAACATCAGCTGATCCCTGGGTAAGAAGCTGCAGAGAACCTTAGGAACAAATTGAGACATTTTAGTACCATAGAGCACTTACATATCACTAGGATCTCGATAAGGGTGATGTGTCCCACTAGGCTCTGGCATTTATGCATACATACTGGTAGGTTTTTTTCCCACAGACAAGCCCAGACTGCAGCCGTGTTTGGGACAAATTTGGTGTGTGGTGTGTGGTATTAAAAAATACAAATGAATGAAGGCTGATAGTTTTGAAAGAAACTGTTTGGGGCTGCGTCGGCGGAGTAACGAAATAATTTGGATATATCAACAAAGTTGAAGTGGTAAATTGGCCACCGTAACTATTACAAACAGTGACGTTTCGAGCCTTAGCTCTTCGTCGGAGCAAATAGAGGAATTGTGGGTTGTGTGTGCTTTTGAAGGTAGAGAATGGAGCTACGTTATTGGTGGGAACATGGCAACAAGAAAAACAAGAATAAATTAGTGGAATGAAAAGCGTTCGTTGATCCCTGTGGGATTTAGACTGCCAGTTTGAAAGATGAGCTTTTGTTCAAGAGTTTTACGGCTTTCCGTGCTACCTAAGTGTAAGGAAAGACCGCAGATTGCCATATGTTGCTTAGAATGATTAGGTAAATTAAAATGTCTAGCGACTGGTTTCGATGTGTCCTTGTCATTCCTTTCCACGTCTCGAAGGTGTTCTCGGAATCGGTCACCTAGTCTTCTGCCTGTTTCACCGATGTATATCTTTTTGCAATAAATGCAAGTTATGCAATAGATTACATTGGCGGAGGTGCACGTGAAGTGATCGGTGATCTTAATGGATCATTTAGGTCCCGATATTTTATCAGTGTTGTATTAAAAAATAGACTATTATTATTATTATTGTTATTATTATTATTATTATTATCATTATTATTGGAAGATCAAAGAAGTCATCAGGGCCTAGTTGTTCAAAGGCCGATTAGTGCTTACACAAGGATAAATTTTAATCTGGATTTTTTTTTTCTTTGAAATAAAAGCTAGCGCTAAGAAGTCACGACATTTCGACCCCTCTGAGGTCATTTTCAAGTGAGTAAACTTTTACTCACTTGAGGTTATTTTTCAAGTGAGTAAGTTTTTACTCACATGGAAATGACCTCAGAGAGGTCGAAATGTCGTGACTTCTTAGCGATAGCTTTTATTTCAAAGTCGATTTCTTTTCTTTCCTTGTTTAAAAGCCTATTTGGGATAATTTTTCTCTATTCTTTTTAGAGCATCCAACCATCAAATTGTAGACAAAAAGAATTTTACTGAAGTTTCCTTTAAGGCTTTCAGATCTGAAATCAGATTTCACACTAACCCTGGGTTATCTTAACCCAGCTTTGAAACAACCCCGCCCCGCACTCAATTATCACTGATGCAATAACTTTACCAGAGTTTTCCTCTTTAGTGATAAGGCAGACCATAGTAGGAATAGGCTTCTCTTTTGAAATGGATAAGAACGAATGGGAATGAATGGGTACTCTTAAACTGGAATTCTGAAAAGAAAGTGAAAATAATGTTATCAACACAGGAATCCCCACCCCCCCCCCTGCTTTGCTTTTGGCTTAAAAAAGAAAAACTTTCCAGAAGAGAAACTGCAATTGGTCAGACAAGTATTTGGCTCATTTTAAAGAAAGCCAAAATAGGAACTGCTTTCAATTGGATATTAAAACTTCTCACAAAAGACATATTGCTTTAGGATCAAAGTAAATTCTGTACTTCTTACACACGTTTCAACATTTCCTTAGTGAGTGAAGCACACAACATCACTTCCAAACCACCACAAATAACAATGCATCATTTTGATTTAACTTTCATCATACATTTGTTTTTAACTTCACCCACAAAAGCCAGAGATTTGTTGTGGAGTCCAACTAAAACATTTTCCTGTTGTGTAGAATTCGATTTACATTAACACAAAAATGTGGAAATTGGATTGTGATGGCTGGTGTAAAATAGTACTTGAACTGATGAGGTACATTGAGAAAACCTTGGCATCTTAATAACTAAAGATCCTAAGCTATAACACTAAGTTTTGTTTTACTTACAATGGGTGACTGTACAGCAAAAATGTATTTTTGTTTGCTGAAGAGCTGAAGTGCACGTTCCATAAAGCCTATTTCCTTACCAAGTAGGCACAGACATCTATAAAAATTGTCCATAAAAAGCTATTAGGACCAAAGTTGAGGAATATACATCAAAGTGATGTTAACTTTAAGAAGACTTCTGCAAGGATAAATTTAATATTTCTTGTACATCATTGAAAGAGGGGTATTTCCATAAAGTTCTATTACCAAAGGTAGGTGCTAAAGAATCAGTAATCACATATTTCCTTTTTGATAAATTATGAAAATATTGCAATACTGATATATTGCAGGACAATTTAAAAACCTTGGAAGCTCTGCTGATCTTGACGGGGAATCATTAAACATCCTAAGAAATAATTAACAAATCTACATTTTGGACAAAACAAGAAATCTAAAAATACCTTCTAAAGAAAGGCAAAGGAACTGAGTTATAGGAAAGGGACAAGAGGCCAGTGTGGTCAGCAAACCGTAAACATCTCACTGGAGATTTACAGCATGAATTAAGAAGAATGTTTAGACCCTGAAAGGGGAAAACATTGAATTACTGATATGGGATGGGCAACTAAAAATCAAACTAAATAAATGTTTATGATAGACAGGAATCTTACCTATAAATGCATGCTGTAATTTACTTATAACCCTTTGTACCCTAACATTAGTATTCATATTATCCATACTGTTCTTTAAACATTTTTCTTGGTAATGACAAGGAGAATTTGTTTAATGATCAAAGCTTCTCAGGTCATTTCCTTTATCTTCATGATCTTAAAGAATTTTTCAGCAGTGTTGATGTAGGAAGAAATCATATGCTGCTCACTCTTACAGTTTCAAAAGGTTAATTTCACTCCAAAAAGAAGTACTGCCTGGCAAATTCTAATCTCATTTGGGTACATACTTTTGGGATAGAGCACATGGACAATGTTACATCCCAGCTAAAGTTGCTGAATTGTCTGGAACTAATTGCATGTGAGTTAGAATTTAAGAACCAGGTCATACCAAGGGTTTGAGAGAGTTGATGTGATTTTGCCATCTAATGTCATCAAATCTCAGTCCAAATTGACTCTAAACAAAAGAACAAACCAGAAACAAAAGTAAAGTCACAAGAAGATATTGATAAAAATTAAAAATACAACCTTGTACATTATCTAACTATTGCAACCTTTGCTATCATCATCAAGACATTTCACATGTTGCTGTCTCAAACATACCTCTGGATCAGAAGACAAGTTGAGAACCTCCCTATGTCCTTTAAAACAAGTGTTCCAATTTTTTTCTGAAATCCAGATTAAGATTGAGTGAGTTTCAAACACTTTTTGACATATTACTTTCCACACTTTTCCACACATTCTTTATGCAAGATTCCAATTTAACCTTTCTATATGTACACTGATTCTGACACTTGGACCACAACCAAAGTTCTCTAATTTTTTAGGCAATGTGTAACTGTTCATCAAGTAAAAAAATTTACAGGAATATAAGCTATACTTAAACTTCTGGGTCCTTTTACCACAGGGTTTGCATCTCCTTGATTATGGTTTCTCCTTTACCCAGATGTACCACCTTATCCTAGACAAATAACTGAATTAAACCTCACCCACAGATTCAGAATCCTCAAGAGATGCAGAAACATCATCATCATCCTCTTCATCCGAGGATTCTTGGCCATCCTGGCTTGATGAAATTCTGCTTATTTCACTTTCCCAGGTACAGACACTTTCCTTTCTCTCCTTTCCCTGACCAGCTAAATCTTCTTTTGTCTTGTGCTTTCTACTCTTCAAGAAGAACACTTTTTCAGCACAGGGATTTGGTAAGGACAGAATACCTTCCTTGTCAACACAACACCACACCTGGAGTTAAAAATAAACCACAAAAGAATCTCACAGTCACTGCACCTGTCACACTGAGAACATTTGTTGAACTGTCTAGTAGATCACAAGTCAATGTGACATCAAGTCTATGTCACACCCTAAAATAGGACACTAATGTCTAAAGTCTGACATTACTGTCTAAAATTGAAGACTTAACCTTCCATAATCAGACACTAGTGTCTAAAATCAGATACTAGTGTCTAAAATCGAACATTAATGTCTAAAATTGAAGACTACTTTCCAAAATCAGGCACTAGTGTCTAAAATTGGATACTAGAGTACAAAACCAGAAAGTAGTGACTAAGATTGGATTTTACACACATTGGTATCAAAAGTTGGGCACTATAAGTGTCCAAAATCAGACATAAATGTCTAGAAGCAGACATTGGTGTCTTACATCAATCACTAGAGTCTAAAATTGGACACTGCTGTCTAAAATTAGACATTAGTGTCCAAGATTGGACACTGGTGTCTAAAATTAGACATTAGTGTCCAAGATTGGACACAACTTCTTCTACTGGACACTATTGTCTAAAATTAGGCATTAGTATCCAAGATCACATGCAACTTCTTCTACTGGACACTAATGTCTAAAATTAGACATTGGTGTCCAAGATCAGACAAAACTTAATTCTTCTATTGGACAAGGTTTGCATTCAGCACAAATATTCTGGTGACAAAAAACTTAGTACAAACTAACAACAATTTAATTCCATATTGTTTTTTCCCTACATATCTACCATACTCACTGTGACACTTCCAAGGATTTCTAAAAGGCTAGCAGTCCTTGGCAAACTGGATGGATCACCCAAAAAATTCTTGCAAAAGCAATGCAATACTTCTTTCAGAGTTATTTCATTTGCTGGCTGCCATAAAGTGAATAAAAATGCAATTATTAAAAAAAAAAACTCACAAGTCATGCTTTAGGAAAATAAGATTCTAACAGAAAAACTCGAAAAAGATGAATTTGGGATTTTGATCCAGTAAGGGACCTTGTCATGTATTGTGATATTCTTTGCATGAATACTAATCTGGAAATACTTACATCTTCTTTCTCTTTTAACTGTGTAAATAATACTTTAATTCGTGCTGTTCCATAAAGATTTAAACATATCCATACAATTGGAAAAGAAATTGGTAAGAGTGGCAGGATGGCATAACCCTGAAAAAAAAAAAAAGACAAACAAACAAAAAACAAAAGGGCATATGATTGATATTACCAGTTCAGTTTCAAAATATCTGTAAGCCAGATCAAACCAGAGTCTCACTTTTCCTCCAACAAAATAACACACCTCCCTTTTCTCTAATTACTCACTAAAGGTTGTTAATTTGAGGTTAGATTACCATTTACCACAACAAAAAAACTTCTTTTTTATTAACTCACTTATTTTAATTGCCATTACATAGAGAATTACAACCATTTACAACAATTGGTAAAGAAAACTAAAACAGATTTAATGGAAAGGAAACCTAGTAAAAACCTATTAAAGGCTTAGCTTGTAAGCTTAAGTTCCCCCGCAAGTAGAACAAGATAAATAACCTACATTAGACAACAAAGCCATATAATAGTCCATAGTAGAATAAGTGTTTGTTTTAAGTTTTTTAAGCTTTGATTACAGATTGGAGGGAAACTAATGGACACATGGACACATGGACAGAGCGAGACACTTTATTCTCAAAGTGCCCCTTTCCACACAGGAAATGGGTACAGTAAACGTTCAATCGATCAATCAATCAATCAATCAACTTTACTTAACGAGGGTAACACTGGACAGTGCTTCAACTGAGTAACTAGTGGCCCTCAAAAAGCACAACAAAATTGAAGTGGTTATCCTAGGGATAGAACAGCACCCTGTAGATGGTAGTAAGTGTAGCAATCTCTTTATGCTCATGTATAAGCCCTGGAAGGGAAGAAGGGGGTAAGTTTCTAAAGAAATTGTGGTGCTGCATCCCTGGGGGTATTACCAGCCAATATTAGTTTTATCAACTGAGTTGGTAAATAAATGTAGATTGGCCACTGTAAAGACTAATTCTGCAGCTGACATTTCAATTGTTAACCCTTCGTTGCGGCAAATCTTGGAATTCAGAGAAAATCCTAGAGATAATTCTTGTCACTCCTAAAAATCCCTGGAAGGGAGGGCTGTCTGGCTTATTTGCTGATTTTCTACTTGTCTCCTACTCTTTATTTTTTCTTTTTCTTTTTCTTTTTTTACCAAATTCCATGTCATTTCAAGGAATATATCATAACCTCTTTCATAAAAATAAATATAAATCTTTTAATATTTGTTTGAGTTTGCCCTACCTGTAATAAAAGAATCATTTCACTCCAATGCCCTGATTCACTTTTAAGAAAAATTGTCCTTAAAATGTTTACAGTCAAAGATAACACCTACAAGAGCAAGGAGCAACAACAAAATAACTAACAAATTAAGATACTGTAACACTTAATAAAAGCTGTAGCAAGAGAGTCCTTCAGAATCCACCAAATGCAAGTTACAGTTACATGCAACAATATGAATGAACTAATTAAATTGAGCATTTTTTTTAACTTACCAAAATTACAAACAGAAGTTTCTTATCTATGATAGTACTTGTGATGTAATGCATTTCATTTCCAATTATGCTAATTGGCCTCTTCAAAGAATTATTTAAAATTGTTCTGTTAAAAAAAAAAAAATATCTATGGATCAGTCCGTGAAATTGTGGTCTAATGGATATCATTAAAAACCAGATCATTGGATAATGCAATTCAAGACTTTTTATTGGCTTAGCCATTATGGTATATGAGCCAATATACTATAATCTACAAATATGGTAAGCGTATGCATCAGCTTAAAATTAAAAGGGAGCTAAAAAATTTAATAAAATTTAATAGATTAAATTAAATTTAACATTTTTAATAAAACATTTATTCCGCTCGCGCTTGTTGGATATGAGATGATTATAGCAAATGAGGCACGTAGCACCAAGTTGGCTATCTATCATCTCATATCCAAGGCGCGCTCGTGGAATAATTGTTAAATATGCTGAGTTCCACTTGAGGAGGGGCAGGTGAGGCCTATTCACATTCAGGTGTTGTGCTCTTTGGCAAAACAGTTATGCATCTCTCTACCTAGGGAGGGGGTGGGGGGAGAATGGGTGTAGGCAACCTGTCACGGAAACTTGATGAATCACTGTAGAGTGAGTTGGGAAGGACCAACATCCTTTCAAGGAGGGAGGGGGTTGGTAATACTCCTAGACATCTCATGGTACAGAAACAAGGACAAGCTCTGGCACTGACAAGCTTCAAAGTGTATAAACCTTTAACTAACACAATTAGTAAACTATACAGATAATCTTTATTTGTACTCACATTCATACTTGCTCTAACTAAAAAAGTCTAACTAACACAATTAATAAACTTTAGTATAATTTCAGAGCTGAACAAAGAGTTTCCAGCAATCTGATTGGTCGAGCGGTTCCTTATATGACGCTATATAAACCGCTCCACGGGGTTTATATAAAATGTTAAACTAAAATGTTAATAAATGTTACTAAAATGTTATGATTTTAGAATTTTCTCTGTTGTTCAGCTCTGAAATTATAGTAAAACAATTATTCACCTCAGGTTCAGTGAATATTGTTGAATAATCCCCTCGACTTTGTCTCGGGGATATTCGAGGATATTAACCTCGCCTTTGGCAAATAATAGTTAAATACGGATAATCTTTATTTGTACTCACATTCATACTTGCTCTAAGTAAAAAAGTTACAAAATTGAAAGAAATTATTAGAAAAAAATTGGAGTAGTAGCAGCCTGGAATAACCGTAGGGGCTAGCGGAGCCAGGCAGTTAGTTAACATCAGCATTAAATTTAAATTAAAATACAGGTCAGCAAGAAGATTGAAGCACAAATGCACACACACACACACACACACACACACACACACACACAAGGAAAAAAAAAAGAAACGGAATTTATAAGATATGAAGGAAGTCTAAAATAGTTAGAGTTATTTATGAATACTAAACACTAATATATAAGAAGAGCACAATGTCTATGGCAAATAGTAACAGCTATATAATTATAAACCACAAAATAAAGAAGCACTTAAAAAGGTTACAGAAATTAACAGGAGACTAGATTACAGTAAATCGGAAAACAATACACTGCTAATAAGTACATAAGTTGCTAATAAGTACATATTAAGTAGCTAATAGTCTTTAACTAGATCGCATTTTACTGACTCCTTGAAGTTTGAGATTGATAAGGTTTTCAAATTTTTTCTTATCGAGTTCCATACTTTGGGGCTCTTAAACCTTAAATTAAATATTCCATAATTTGTTCTTACTTTAGGTATAGCTGGTAGAACAAATTCGAGGCACTTCTAGTTTTGTAGTTATGTTTTTTATTTACTTGAGTGAAAAATGTATCAAACACAGATGGTAGGCGTCTATTGTAAAATTTATACATAAAGGCTGCAGTATTAACGAAGACAAGGTCAGGCAGTTTAACAATATTTAAGCGCTTAAATATTGGACTAGAATTAATGCTCATGGAAATTAGAAAAAGTTATCACTCTCATTGCTCTCTTTTGTAAGATAAACAAAGGCTGGGTAGTCGAAGAATATTAGTGTTACCCCACGAGATTAAACTATGGATTAAAAAGGGATGTATTAATTAAAGCATAATATAGTTTAATCAAAATGTCTAAATTCACATAATAACGAAGTTTAGAAAGAATCCCAATATTTCACTTGATCTTTAAAGCAATATAGCTTACTTGACTTTTCCATGATAAATCAGAATCAATTACAATACCTAGATATTTTATTGAAGACTCTTGGTTTAAGTTTACGCCATTTAGAGAGAGGGTGACATGAAAGGGTATCTTTCTTTGTGGAGGGTCAAAGATGATAAAATTTGACTTGTCAAATATTAAGTGAAAGTTTGTTAGCACTTAACCAAGTATGAATATTTACTAGTTCATTATTTACTTTGGATTCAAGGGTCTTAAGATTTTCATGTTTATAAAATAGATTGGCATCATCTGCAAATAGATGAAAATCTAGAATTTCAGAGCAGTTACCAATTAAAAATCATTGATATATATAAGAAATAATAAGGGGCCCAGAACTGAGCCTTGATCAGGAACACCACAAGAGACAGATTGCAGTTCAGACTTAGTTTGTCCCAAGGAAACATATTGATATCTGTTGGCAAGATAAGAGGTGAACCAGTCTTTGATTACTCCACAAATGCCATTATGATAGTAAACTATTGACATTTATAGAACTTTCTGAAAGCTTTGAACTGATCCCTCATTTGAGATCCAGCTAAGAACACTGCCCTACTTTTGCAACAAAAGTTACCTGAGATTTTGTTTGAAAGGACTTTCTGTAACAAGAAATTTTTCTCGTGGATGAGGCTGGGATGGCTGTACACCAGTTCCTTTGTTACCATCAGCTGGAAATCAACAAACAGAACAGATAATGTAAGCCAAAATCATGGAGAGAAGGCCTGGAAAAACAGATGACTTGACAAGGACACTTACAGTAAAAAGAAAATTCCAAAGGGATTAACCCATAAAGTGACCAATATCTAATTTCTCCCTCTAATATCTCACTTGAATCAAACATTAAGGTCATAAGAACAGAGGAGATGATCACCAACTTTAGAAGCTCTTGATCGTTTAACAAATTCTCCTTGTCAACACTATAGGAAATGTATAGAGAGCAGCATGAAGAATATACAAGTCATGCTAATGTGACAGTTTTAAAGGGTGAAAAGAACTTTATTTCAGCAAGTTTTCCTCAGAAGGTTACATTTATTTCGCTTTTTTTTTACTTTTATGCAAGTGCATTTGCCAAGGAAAATTTGAGTGTGAACCTAACATTTGTCCTTTTTCAATATATTTAACCTGGCTGGTGTGTAGAGAAGTCATAAACTTTAACTTACTAGAGCTACTCTGTGTAACAGGATGGTACACCTGACCTTCTTCAAGAATAAAGGATGGCCCTCTGTTTGGAAATTCTGTGGAGAGCTGTCACAAAAAAAAGCCAAAACACTTTTAAGTCTTGATTAAATTCAGTTTATAATACAGAAGGAAAGTTCCACTTTTCTTGTGATGGACTATGCCTTTCCACAAAAGGAAGCAATTCTCCTGATTGCTCCATTTTGAGGAAATGAGGATAAGCTTCAACAAACCTAACCCTAGCAAAATTTATAATTATTGTTGTCTATTCAGCTAAACCTTGTAACTCCCAGGAGAAATAAACATGTAATTTTTCTGTATGATTCCAATACTTTTTCTTGAAAACAGGTTATGAGAATAAGAAAGCTGAACAGCAAGGTATCTCTTCTTTATACAACACCAAATTCTCCTGCCTAATGCATTGATCAATTTGAAGCTTCAACATCCCTCCCACATGGCAACCCCCCTGCATTTGAACTTTTTAAGATTTCTTTATTCAAATTGCTACCCCCGGGACAAAATTAAAATCAGCCTAGACCTTCATGACCTTTTCTTCTGATCCATTTGCTCGTAAAAGTAACTATTTACCTTTAACATACGTGTGCTTGTTTGCATTATCACACCCCAGCCAGGCAAGGTTTAAATTCCAAGCATGGTCAAATGCTATGGGTTTCCTAAGAGGGGGGGGGGGGGGAGTGTTGAAGCTTTTGATTGATTGGCACATAATTTACAAGGAAACTGTTAAGTGCAGATCCAAATGTAAGCACTGTTTAAGAGATCTTGTACAGCTTGAGGAAAAAAGTCCCTCCTATTCTATTGAAGATGGCACCTCTGTAAGTCATCCCTGATGTGTTCATGGTGGAAACCAACAGTTACTTTCAAATGTGGCTTTGACTCCAAACATATTACAAATGAATACTGTATCTCATGCAAAGATTCTCAGCTATATCCTGAAAAAAGCTTAGCATATACAAGTACTTCTATTTCTTGCCACACAAAGGCAACCTTGTTGTGCATCACTAGAAGGGAAAGAAAAACACAAAAAGCCACTGATCACCAATTTATCTAAACAACCCTACCTGCTGCACTCGTGCAGGGGCAGTATGACCTGGTCCTAGTACCACCACATCACCTTGAACAAGCAGGTTACTGGGGACACTGACCATTGCATTGTCTCTGTAGGCGTGCACCAATGAAATGGACAGTGAGGGAGGGGTACAGGGATCAATATAATCAGATGGCATCCAGCTGCAGCAAGCTGTGGAGAAGAAAAAACAACAAGGATGCATAAAAAAGATTTTAATTAATAAGATAAAAGATTAATCATGGCCTCAAAAAGTAAATTAATATTAATTGTTTTTCACATTTGTTGATTGAGATTTATGTCAAATCTCGCTGTTATGGTTATGCTCCTCTTCTGTGCACAAGAAACATGTATTTTGTTTGGCTTTCTTGGACGGACCATCCTCTCCTCATTAGACTTTGCTCAAAACTTCTACTTTCTGTTTAAGGGGGTTCTGCACAGTGTATCACTGATCACAATAGCAAGCTAATCAGGTTAAAGATCATTGAAAATTTAAAATTTTTTCTAATAATTTTTTATATAGAAGTTTCTCACAGTCACAGCTGTTAAGTAGCTCCTGAGTACTTCTGATCATCTCCGTCCTTCTCAGTCTTTCCTCTCGTACACACAAAGTCAAATTGATAGCTGTCAGTAACAGAACAATGATTCCTTCTATCAGTGGAAGGCTAAAGCAGAAAAAGATTTAAAAGAAAGCACCATCAGTCTTAGTATGAGAAAAAACAGCTAAATCCAACTGACACTAAGGATTTTCACGCACTATGATTTAGAGCTTCACAGTATACCAAAAACATTTTCTGCTTCCTCTTGCTGTAGAGTCTATTACTATAATTAGTATATTTTTATTCAGCTGCGTGCAAGTTGACAAAGCTAAACACCACAAATTTACTGGGCTCTCTTAATCAGTGGCAATCTGATAGCTGCAAGCTCACAAGGAATGCTTCCACTTCATTACTGCTGGACCTTCAAGTTCTTGCAAAGTCAGGTAGGGGTTGTTTTGTGGCATTTGTTTCCTGGTAATCTCCAATCTACGAGACCTCCCTGGGCTCGGCACTAACTTTTCAACTTGCTAGCCAAGTGGTTAATAACAACTTAGATGTTACAACAATTTCAGTTTGTTTACTAGCCAAACTGGCTGATGGAAATCGAAAACCACTTGTCAAAACTGAATTTCTACTAGTTTGTGGCTAGTTGGCTTCCATTAATGTCAAGTCCTCCCTTCTTTTTTTCTTTCTACTGATCAAGCATCTAGTGTTGACACATTCTTTCTATTTTATTTTGTTTTTTATTCTTTAATTTTTCTTTATTATTATACAAAGCTTTACATAGACATACAAAGCACCACTTTTCACTACAGTTGTCATACACCTGGAATAGGGCTCATGGCTGGGTTGCAGGAATTTGCCAGCCATAGAGTGACTAGTGATGGGCTGGATGGAAAGTACAAGCACCCACCCTCCATTTTAATGACAGAGAGAGAGAGGGAGAGAGAGGGAGAGAGAGGGAGTTCTTTATCATTGCTCCCCATCTGCTTGACAACACATTGATAAAATGTTGGGAGAAATATCTTATCAATCATTCCTTTTAGTGAAAATGTGTGGTTTAGAAACTCACCTCCTTGTTTTATCATTGAAGACATATGACATCACCATCACAAGAAACTCAAACACAAGAAATGTCAGACTAATAAAGCTTATAGGCAAGTGATGGTTGTCCCTCAGTGTACTCCAAATATCACTTCTCCATGTACACTGGTTTGCTGCATTAAAAGTTGCTAACTCATCACCAATGGCATCAAAAAGTCTTTTCAGCGCCTCTTGTGAGCTAAGTCCACTTGATCCATCATTTGTTTTCTGTAAAAATTACAAAGCAATGCAAAATACTGTTTACTGCTCGGCTTATATTTTGAGTAAATGCTTCCATGTTATTACTAACCCCAAAAGGAAACTTGTCATAATCCTTTAACTCCCATGAGTGATCACGACAGAATTTCTCCTTACAAAATCAAGCATACAAGCAATGAGAATAAAGAAAACTATATATTAGGGGGTTGTTAGTTGATCTAATACCAAATTCTAACATCATAACAACTGTATAGCAGACAGCGAGGAGAATTGCTGCTTAGATCTTGGGAGTGAAAAGGGCTAAAGCCTGTAACAGCTTCCTTGAAAACCACTAAGAGGAACATTCTCAGGGTGTCTGTGTCTGCAGTGCAAAATGTTCCTACTTTAAAAGTTGAAAAGCCTGAGAATTTCTTTTTCATCCACACACCAAGAGCATTCCCTTGTCACTTAAGACCATTCTTATTCCACTACATTCTTACAAACATACACAAGACAATTTTCAAATTTTGTCTTCTGCACAACAGCATCGGTAGATTCACCACCAGGAGCTGCAAAAAGCCATACCTTGACTCATTCACTTCCTCAGCACTGTTACAATATTTTCCTCTTTTCACTCTAGACTAGTGGTCCTTTTTAAGATTATCTCTCTTTTCTGCTTTCTCAAACTGGTTTACTTTTAAATTGTCTGAAACTCTATAAACTGTTTTTTTTCCAAGCATGTGCTAATGAAAGCCTGCATTCTCTGCCAAAACTTGGAAGAAATTTATGATATCTCCTCATTAACAATTAGAATAGACTGCTGCCAAACGCCACAGCTTACTTCTTGAACTTCACAAAGAATCTCCAAGGTATCCATGTCAATTTCACCCTCACTCTCCCCCTGAAAATTGAAGAATCAAAGACTAAGTAATTTAGTATTATTTGTTAGGTAACATGTGGATTAAAATAATAGATGAAGGCAGACACTTCGAGATAACTGAAAGAAAATGATTAAGTAGGCCTATATCACAATTAATTGTACTGAGTAAGAAAATAGAAAGTTTAGGACTAAATTAAGAGTCTGAAAAATTGTAGAATAGCAGAATTCTTTAAAAACAATATTGTTTTCTTAATATACAGTACTTCTTTGCAGTTGTGACTTATCATTTTGCGTCTGTTTGTAAAAACTGGGTGTTGTCATTAACAGGATGTCTGCTAGGTGACAATTGATTGTCTAGCGAATTGAATTATTCTGTTTCATTAATGAAGCAGTGTACTGAAGTTTTGTGATTGGTGGGCAATATCAACTCTACAAGAAAACATCAGCCAGAAAAACAATCATACAGCCTAGAAAACACAGCCATGTATGAATCTTGAAACATTTTGTGGACAAATTGAAATCCACACAAGCTATTCAACCAGAAAATAATGCATGTAGCTCAAGAATTAACCATTATTGATCCCTTCACTATTTGTAGATATTTTTAACACTGAGCATATTGATAATAGTTAATTGATTAATATCCTTTGATTCTGTCAATCAAAGAAAATTGATACTCAGGTGTTCTTATTAAATAAATCAAAATTGGTTCTTTTATATTCAGTTTCACTAACCCTTTCACTCCCATTAAGTGACCAAGAAAGAATTTCTCCTTATTTTATCAATACAGTGTCAAGCAGACAAATAATGAGAATAAAGAAAAATGTCAATTAGAGGATTATAAGTTGATCCAATACCAAATTCTCCAAACTAATGTCATAAGAATTGTATGACAGACAGTTAGGAGAATTACTATTGAGATCTTGAGAGTGAAAGGGTTAATTTTAATAAAATGATAAGCAATTTGGAAGTCCTAACATTTTCCATTCAGCTGAGAGCTGACAGGATACAGCTGGTAGCTGAAAGGATACAGCTCATAGGATAACCATTCAATGCATTTGATTAATTACTATCTTGAATTCTGCAAAGGCTGTTTAATAAGGGGAGTAAAAGACTGGCATGAGCTCCGATCTTCAATGCAAACAGCACTGTCTCTTTGCTTGAAAAGGAAGTTCGAAGCCAAGATGGCCATGTTAAACAAACCAATTCCAAAGGAGAATTCGATTCGGATACATTGTACAAAAGTTGTTCAGAGGGCCAGCGATATTTCAGGCATTTATCATGATTCTTACATTTAGCTGTCTGAATTCTAGACCTTCCTAAGAACGAATGAACCCCTTGACAAAGTATATATATTTGATTCAGGAACACAAATATGTCGTTACATATCAAAACAATGTCACAAATCAATATATTCGCTTCCTACCAGCCCTTCTCGTCTTCGCCAGCTCCATGATCGACGTTTCTCGGATGCAGCAGAGGAATCTTTTGGATAACCACTCATTTTCATGCCCCTACCTTCCATGATCCTCCAAACTTTAAGGGTCGATCCACAACAATCTCTCAACAATCATGCGAACTGTCCAGCCATTTCAAGAGAGTGCACGTCTTAAAAAATTTACTTTGAGCCTTGGTAAGACTTTTGATAATACTGATGATCTTGGGAAAAAAATCGGTAACTCACAAAACAAACATCACATTTTCAACGAATAAAACATTTCCTTCCACCCATGTAAGACGCCATGATTGAAGTCCCCGCCAAACATTCTCGTGCCAGTTTCCCTCGACTATTTCGCTCTGACGGAGGGCTAGCGCTCGAAACGTCAGCTTTTTAACTCGTTTCGGTGTGGCCAATTTACAATTTCAACTTAGTTGATATACCTTGTTACCCCCACCGACGCAGCACCACAGTTTCTTTAGAGACTTTCACCCTTTATGTGAGATCAGGTGAAGACGTGGTATCGATGCGTGCTATCGAAAGACAAATTTCAGGGACCGCGTAGGAGGTGGGGCTGGGGGGGGGGCTTTAGCCCCCCCTCTTCACTTTTTTGACTGATTAAATCAATTTTTTTTTACTTAGAAGGTAGTCTATTCATTTAAATTTGGTAAAACGTGAAGGCCAGTTTGTTACTTGCTGTTTTATAAGAATTAATAATTTACTTCACTTTTGGCAGTTTTAGATCCATTTCTAGCCATTTCAGAAGACTTTAATTTCAAATTTTCCCGGGGAAGCATGCCCCCGGATCCCTCTAGTTGGCTCACGCTAACGCGTTCGCATTAGCTCCCCCACTTGAAAATCTGCTCCGCGGGCCCTAAAGTTTTATCTTTCAATTAAGACCGATAGCACTGTTAACGAGTTATAAAATTCTATTTAAACTGCATTGAATTTCCATTTGACATTGTTATTCGTTATGGAGAACTAAACAGGATCAATCAAACAAACTAATTGGCCTTCTATCAACAGCTGCCGAAGGTTTCTTAGAAAGATTCAGTACGGGAAGTAGCCATAGGAGGCAGTTGAGGGGTACGCTTTGGGTGAAAATGTGTCGTCCGGGTCCTAAGAACATTTGGAATTTCCCTTCAAAACGATACCGCGTGCTAGTAACCAGGAAATCTTTGATAGACAGTAAACTATGGTTTTTCAGTCGTGTTAGTCTGGCTGGGTTCCTTCAAACGATTTCAATTTACGAACAGCGACAGAGAAGGAAAGGAGAAAGGATCTGTAAAGATTTGTTGCAGAAAAAGTCGATCAAGTAATGGGTCACTTTTGCCGTTTGCCGATGAACTTGACGTTATGGCTGCGACAAAATCAAGATCAAATCGCTGAACGAAACACCCACTGAATCACGGAATGTATGGCGGAAAAAAGAAAATGGGCTCATCCTCGGTGTAAAAACCTGTGAAGCTCACGAGTGACGTAAAACAAAGACAACAGAACATTATAAACAATAGCGTACAGCAAAACAATACCTCATGAAACAAAGAAAACCTCGTCAGGTTTTTACACCGAGAATGACCCAGAAAAGAGGATGAAAATAAAAAATCGCACCGAAGTGAAATTTTACTAAGGCTCCCGAATTTCATTTTTGGATGTTCAAAAAATCGTTTTCATTTCCGATATTTTCCAGCTGAGAACGGCTTCTCAAATCAAAACACAGAAAACGTGAGTATCTAATCATTTCTTTTAATAATATTTGAACTATCGGGAACGTTTCTAACATGAACGTAACAGTTTTTCAGACAAGAACATAGTAATACATTTCTGGATTACTTTAGACACTCAAACTGAAAGATTCAATAACTCCTTTTAACTCATCTAAAGCTGTAATATACAATAAATAGAAACAAGGACACTTTCTAAAAGGATAACGTCAATCTCACCTCTTCTAACACTTTTTTTGATCCAAGTGAAAACTATGCTTTTTTTAATTAAGTAATCAATCTGTTTTCAGTGGGGGAAAAGACCAGTAACTTTTAATATCCTTTTATTTTTTGAGAAAATTAAATCTCAGTATTGAGGTGTTTTTATTTTTTTTTTTTTTTTTTTTTTTTAAAGTTTAATATCGAAGACCAAACAGAAAGAACTTTCAATGAAATTTGCATTTCTACTCAGTCTTTGATAAACTAATAAAAATAGATTCTATCAAGAGGATTGACCAATAAATTTGTGAGTAAATGTCTATAAATAGACTGTTTACTAGCAAACATTTGATTCTTGATCCTACTTGATTTTCCCTAAAATACCTAACAAATAATTACATCTATCGATACCCATGACAAGTAAATGTATTCCAAAACTTTATTTAGAGAACTTTTTAAAACATTTCTTAACAGTAGCTTAGGATTAACCGGGATGTATAACTGTATATCTACAATGTAGGTTCAGGAGTTAAGAAATTGTTGGGAAGCTTCTTCTCTTGAACTTCCGATATTTTCAATTGACAAGAAAATTAGAGATCTACAAGTGAAGAAATCACAAGTTGATTTAAAAAAGAAGCCCCAGGGATGTAAGCTACAGTAATTGATATTGTCATTGAAATCATGCTGGATTGAATCTGTTGGCAGTTTAGTTACGTTATATTTGAAGGGTCAAAAACAAGTGACCCATACCAGATATGTCTTCTTCAAATTCCTGATTGAAAAAAAATTTTCAACTGTACATCCTACAGTTTTCATATGTCAGTTTATTCCCCCCCACCTCTCCTCCTGCTCTTGCTAGAATGAGTATTATAAACTACATAACTGGAACTTCTCGGCTGCTACTGGGTGTCTGCTGCCCCCATGGCCTAAAAAAAAACATGAAAAAAAATTATACAGTCATATCACTACTAGAATTTCCTCCATTAAACAGTCCAAGCCATTTCTTCAAACTTGAGCTGGTGAACCTGGCATCCATAAAATGCTGCCATTTAATTCTGACTTCTACCTCAATAGTTTTTTTACCCCTGACATTTATATGAGGCCAGCTTATGACTGAGAAAGTAGGTAGATTCCAAAGCGGGAAAAAAGGAAGAAAAAAAGAAAATGATGATGCACATTCACAAAAAATTACAATGATCAGCATTCAATAAGAGAAAGATACTGCTTGTTTCCCCACTCTACTCAAAAGGATTTTCAGAAAAAACAAACAGAAAAAAAAAACTAACAAAAGTCTTAAATTCCCAACTGATAGATGGGAGACCAGCTGGCTATCTGCAGAATAGAAGCAATGACTTCAATTATAGTGTCCAGTACAATTTCAAGTCCCACATCCTAGTCAGTCAATCACCCCTCTTTCACTTGGATTTCAAGTCCAGTTAAAGCTAGGTGAAGAAATCATATATACAATAAAAACAGTGGAATAAGGAGATAGTAGAATTAATGGATGGATGATTTGAAGGTAGAGAATGAGTATCCCACACCATCACTAAAGATCAATCATGCAAAGTCCAAGGTAAAAACAAATGTGTTCATTGTTCTTTACTGTTATTGTTCCTTTTTTTTAGATTTTTTTATATAATTTTACCAATGATAACTTGTGAAAAATAATTTTGATCCATTTCATGCACTGTTACATAATTATCCTTGTTACAAGACTTCTATTCGAACATTTATTCAAATCCATGCATTTAACCCTTTTAACTCCCAAAGGTGATTAACATATAACTTCTCCCTCTAAAATCCAAACATTATTCTTCAAACAGGTAATGAGAATACTCAAAATTATCAGGCAGGAGTTTTCATCTTGATCTAACACCAAATTCTCATAACTCATTTACGGTAAACCTGCAGCAGCTAGAGGGGAAATTAATAATCAGATCCTGGGAGTTAAAAAGTTAAAAGGGAGTTAACCTTAACCTTAACAGCAAATAAAGATACTGGACAGAACAAAAGACCCTGAAGAGAACAAGAAGAAACAAGAAGACTTACAAGAGTCGAGGAACAGGACTAGAACGATTTTGTATGAGAAATCTTCCAGGAAGTTGATTACGAGGAGGAGGGTTTACCTGTACCTGCTAGATGAAAGACAGTCGTGCCACAAAGAATAGAGACAGTTAAAGAACACAGGAATCAAAAGGATCAATGATTGTCATCATCGTTATTTTGTTTAAGATTCCTCCTGCTCCTCTCAGGATTGATTAAGTGTTCCTCTCTGTTCGACATATTAGTTATTTCTATATTTTACATACTAGATAAATTGCATGTAGGACCTATAAGTTTAGAAATCAAAACAAGTGTTGTCATCATACTGACAGTGTGGAAGTCTACAATCATCTTTAGAAGGCACACTGGGTTAGAGAAATTAAATGCTTTAGACAAAGGATTTTTGTCCTTCCTCTCTTGTTGTTGATGTTTTATCTTAATCTACAAAAAGCCAACTGGCCAAATTTCAAATTGCAACTCAGTTTTGATGCTTGTAATTACCTTTAAAACATTCTTGAGTTGTTTGACATTATGTACATTATTAACACATTACCTGCAATTAATTCATTATAATCATTTTAAACAAATTCCCATTTACTTATTACCATTTTTATATTGACTAGTAAAATCATTTTATGGTTTATAGTCTAGTTATCATTTTACTGGACTAAAAGTGGTTTATGTTCACCAAATTGTTTCCATAAAAGGAGCAGACAGCTGTACACAAAACTCAGATGTTTGATCTCAGATGTCTATGATTAATTTGCAAACCTAATAAGTCAACAAAGTTACCTGGTTGAGCAGCTGTCTTCCCAAGAAATTTCCTGCAAAACTCTTGATCTTCTTTCCAGCGTCTTTCTTACAGCGCACTTAACCAATCAGGTTTGCAACATTTAAAGAAAGGCCTACTGCAACAACCAGCTGAGGAAGGAATCATAATGTGTTAATTTCCTGTTACTTATGGAATCATAACAAAATGGTGTGTCATTTTAAAGCAATAGACCATAATTTCTATCAGTTCACCAGTGTAATAAACCACAGAGGATGTTGGGAGAACTAGGGAAAAGTTGATTAAATCATGATCCAGAGGCACTTTTGAACTTGACTCCTAAAACACAAAAATCTACCAGCGAAGTTGGCAACTACTCTAGAGTTTTTAGTCGTCAGGAAGAAAATGTTACCCACAATGGTACCTGTATCAGTCACAATCTCTACCCCTGCAATAATTTTTGTCGCCCTTACTTGACTACCTTGCATCAAAAGATAGCAAAGCTTTAAGTTTGGACTTATCTTGGCATCCAACCTTTCCATTCTCAATTTTGTCCCAACATAGTTAAACCTAAGATTTACAGCCCAATATTGTATCTACAAGAAATCAATAGTCTGCTCACCAGCCACTTAAATTTCAGTGAAAACAGTGCAGCCACTAGAAAGAATGTCCAAATGAGGGGACAAATTACCAAACCAAGCCAGAAGACACGCGATTCAGCTGTAGTCACCTGCTTATCACTCTATATTTAATAATTTAAAAGAAATGGTAAATATAGGATGTTCACAAGACTGGCTTTGATGAAATAAAAAAAAGAACAAAGTGACAGACACAGAGTAGCCTTAAAAAACAAAATCAAAGTGACCTACCGTATTTATTCACTTATAAGACCCACTCGGTTTTAAGACGCACCCCTAACTTGGCAAATTAGTCAAGCCAAGTTCCCAAATGGAAAGTTTTGTGAAAATACTCGGTTATAAGACACACCAAAAGGTTGAGAGTTCACAAAAAAGGCAGGATGGATGAAAATGGTAGGTTTTATCTCCACATTGTTTATTCAGAGACGGAACTATTCAAGGGAGCAACACAAACGTGATTCTAGGAATTTGAAATGTGGTTCGAACGATTGTTTTGTAGTCACGGATATCATGATACAGAGCATGTGCTGTTGAGAACGTATGCAAATTTCCTCTTGTTTGCTCTTGCATTAAATGTTTGCTTTTGTTGTTGATCTTTTGAAGTAGATCAGAGTTCTAAAGCAGTAATCCTTTTTAATTCATAGGAAAAAAGGGTTGGATTATACGCAATCTTCGCTACATCTCAGACCAAAAAGCCCTGCTCGTGTGGGTTTAGTTTCGTGGTCATTTGACAGCTGCCGTATAAGAAACGTTTTTTTCAGAACCACTACAACGGCTCTTCTCAAAGCCACCCTAGTTCTTTTTAGAACCGCCAGATCTAAAAAAGTTAATGACCAACAATTAGTGTTCTTTTCATGTCTTTGTAACTGTAAGTTCTGCTAAAATTGTGATCTTAAGATTTTGTTGCGTGAAAATACTCGGTTATAAGACGCACCCCAAGTCTTGAGCAGACTTTGATCAAACAAGCATATTTTCTCATAAAAAATGGTGTGCCTTATAAGTGAATAAATACGGTAATCACAAAAATCCTATGTAACATAATATACTTTTTTTTCTCGTTGCGATGTTCCCACCAATCACGTAGCTCCTTTTTCTGCCTTTAAAAGCACACACAACCTACAATTCCTCTATTCGCTGCAACGAAAGGCTAACGCTTGAAACGTCAGCTTTTATAACCATAACGGTGGCCAATTTACCATTTCAACTTTGTTGATATATTCAAATTATTTCGTTACCCCCACCGACGCAGCCCCAAACAGTTTCTTTAGTAACTATCAGCCTTTATTCATAATATACTTTTGTTGTGTACTTATTCCCTGTTCATTAATCCTTTTGTCTATAGGACATCTCAGATGTTCCAGCTTTTCAAACTTTACTTAAATGGTTTATCTTACTTGATCAACTTATTGTTGATAGGTTGTTATGACACACTTTTTTCAGAGCCTTATAACTTTGCTTATTGTACTTATAACATTTTAACGGCATCAAACTATCCTTTACATATATCTTATTAGAAGTTTTGTTGTGTAGTATCGCTGGGTATTTATACGAGTTTTGCCATATTTTGATGAGCCCGTAGGGCGAGTCAAAATACAAATAATGAGTAAAAATACTCAGTGATACTACACAACAAAACATCTAATAAGTTATTTATTATCCAACACGCCAAACTGTTATTTCAGTGCAGGCCAATTTCGCAGATATTTATTTACGGGGAGTGCATGACAGAAGTATGCAAAGCGTAACGGAATTGGCACGTTCTCGTGTTGCTGTTTCTTTTTTCTTCAATAAATGAAGAAATATCCAGGTCGTCTAGCTGTTTTTCTTTGTTCGATTCATCTAATAAACTTGGATGTATATTTGCCAGCCATTCTGACTCTTCGTCATCAGAAATATGATTCAAATTGTCCGCCACTTTTTTCTTCGTAACTACAATCCAATTCTTTGTTTGCATGATGTGAGAAAACCAGTTTAACCGGTACTACAATAGACGAGTACAAATAACGCGTGATATTTGTACTCGTCTATGGCGTTATTAGTACTCGTCTAGGTGTAGTTGGATAATAATGCACATTATCTTTACCGCACATCTACACTGGCTTTAAAGCCCTTAACTCCTATAAGTGATTAACATGTAACTTCTCCCTATAACATCCATATATTATCCAGCAAACAGGTAATGAGAATACTCAAACTTATCAATCTTGATATAACACCAAATTCTTGTCACTAATTTAAGGGGAAACACCGGCAGCTAAAGGAGAGAATTAACCATCAGATCTTGGAAGTGAAAGGGTTAAACTATACAAAACCTTTCTTGACTCAAACACCCAATGGCTGTTTCCATCTTCATCTACATAGTTCCACCATCTAAGTCCCACTAATAACCGTCCTGTGACGTTCTTGACAGTCCAGAAGTCAAATGATAAAAGCAGAACTATGACAACAAAGTTTGTTATGAAACTATCACTGAACCAACCACACAGAAGGTAAGCAATGATTGCTGCCACTCGGAAAAGAAGATGGAAGACGGTAACGACGGGTTTTCTGTAAAGGATACAAAATTTAAAAATTATGTCAAGAATTCACGTTTGAACAGAAACAGATTGGTCAAATATTTGCAAAAAAGAGACAGAGTTATCTCGTAAAAAGCTGATTGGATTCAAATATAAGAAACCTTTTCCAACTTTTTCTTATAAATATCAACGGGGAGAATATTAAGCATCGTAGAATTTAAAATGAAAAAAGCCAATTATATGAGCTTCTATCAACAAACCTGAATTTCTTTTTCCTATTTAAAATTTCATCCTCGTCTCCAAAATTCAACGCCACATCTTCGGTGGCGTCTAAGTGATCCTAGAAATATTCAGTGGTATATCAGAAAAAAAGAAACACAGATGAATCCACAAACGAGCGAGCAAATATTAATGAATCAAATAAAACACACAACACCAACCATGTCCGCCATCTTGAAGTTTGAATAGCCGCTGACCGCTGTAGGACGTGGCAGCCTTGTGAAACTACATGTTCTTCATTTAACGCAACACAGAGTGTCATTACAGAGAGGGGCTTTGGGATTTTCGGTTTTGCGGTTTTGACCGTTTTTTGGATCGGTTTTTCGGTTTTTGGGCCAAAAAGGTCTGGTTTTTCGATTTTGATGTTCAGAGCGGTTTGCGGATTTTACGTATTTTTGCATTCGGTTTTCGGTTTTCACGAAAACTCTGATGCGGTTTTCGGTTTTTCCTTTTTGACCCCTCTAAAGGTGAAAATGTAGCGGTTTTGTCAGGTTTCATGCGGTTTTCGGTTTTGCTGCCTTTTTTCATCGGTTTTTCGGTTTTTGAGGTTTTTTCTCCGGTTTTGCTCTTTCCCAGAAGCCCCAATGCCCCCCCA